AAGCACTGACCCAAGCAACTTATAGAAGGAAGAGTTTATCTGAGCTTGTGGTTCCAGGGGAATTACAGTCCATCATGGCAGGGAGGCATGGTGGCTGGAGGTGGCTGGAGCAGGAGCAGCAGAAGCTAAGCTCTCACATCAGCACACAGGCACAGGAAGGAAGCAAGAGCGACTGGAGATCTGGCAAGGCTTAAGAATTCTCTAAACCTACCCCCAGAGATGTGCTTCCTCCAGGATAGCTACATCTTCTAAAACCTCCCAAAACAGTGCCATCATTTGGGGATGAAATGCCCAAACACTTGGAGTCTATGGGGGACATTTTCATTCAAACCACCACACTCTCTCTTAACTTTCCTTTGCCCATCTGCCATGTAATGCCTTCCACCATTTTATGATGCAGCAGGAGGGTCTTTACCAGATACAGATGCTTTGATCTTGGACTGTCTAACCTTCAAAATTACATAAAATAATAATAAATTCACTACCAATTGCTCAGTCTTGAGTATTCCATTACAGAAGTATGGAGTGTCTACAAGGTCCTCTCTATACCAATCTTCTAACGCCTCTCCCCCATAGACCTGTGTTTAAGTGTGTGATACACACACACAGCACAAAATATGACCCATCATTGACTGTCTACATTTAGGAGAAGTTTGTGGTCCCAAAGTTCATAACAGTCTCACAGACCCTCTTAACTGGATCAGCTACTACCTCAAACAAAAGACTCCAGGAGAAAAATTATGGCAGGCCAACACTTGGGAAGCTAAGGCAGGAAGATCCCAAGTTCAAGTACAGCCAGAGCTATAAAGCAAACTCTGTGTCCAAAAAAGGAAAAATCAAGAAGAAATCCCAAGAGGTTAAGTGACAACTGACTAGGGCTAAGTGGAAGGTAGAGGCCTGTCAGCCACTGGACAAGCTCTGTTTTGTCCCCTGTTGCTGCCCAACCTGGTCCTTACTACCTCTCCCATTTCCTTTGCAGCAGGTCTCCTGGCTTTTCAGAACCTCCAACTAGGATGGAATCTTCTATTTTATTTCAGTTACCTGGCAGATTTGCTGCTGGAAAACTGCTTGAACTTAAATGCCAAGGGCACCAAGCAAATTTAGTTCTTTCTTTTTCATCCCTCTTTGCCCCACTGAAAGCTCAATGTGGAGAAATGCTGTCCCTCACCATGTACCTGGTGAAGAGGGGTGTCCCGTGACATCTTCCTTGGAAAGTAATTGCCTTTTGTGAAGGAACATTTCTTCTTTCGAAAGCAAACAAAATACATTTTTCTCACATGTTCTTCTCCCAAAGTTTAAATAAAAGTCAAAAATTACATCAGGACAAAAACAGGTTTCCATCTAATGGGTGAATTTTTCCTTTCTTCATCTCAAATTAAGATTATGTGGTGGATTGCAACTAGGTTCATGCTTCTTAAAATGGAAAATCACAAAGAAAAAGGCAGAGGAGAGTGAGAAGCATAGGCAATGCTAGCAGGGAAGCCTTCCTAGTCCCTTTAAGGATGACTGAAGAATCGAAGAATGTCCCTTGGAAGAAGAACAGAAACTAAGTCCAAAATGGCAGATGCTGATCATGTTGGGTCACAGGTGAGTGGGGCTGGGGAAGCAGGAAGTTGTATCACTAGGTCCACCTGCGATCACCCAATGAGGTTGCAGTCTGATTTCTGCCTATGCCTCAGGCCCCATGGCTAGTAGAGAAGTCACCAAACAAACCCCTCATTCCACCTTCCCTGGGGCTCCTACAACACTTCTGTCTCCTGGTGCCACTACATGGCTGCTTTGTGAGTTTGTGATGCCCTTTCCTGTAGCACTGTAGATACAGAACATGCTTCCTAAATACAGTTGAATTCTTCCTATCCCTTCTTTGCTTTCCATTTGCTATTTCCTAAAGATATGCAAGGGAAGGGGCTGAAACCATAACTTTCCTGAAACTGCATGTGCATCTCAAATGCAGAATGACTTCTCACATTCTCCTCTCTGATTCCTCTACTCCTCCATGGTTCTAAGTCTAAGATCCTAGGCATGTCATTTGCAGGCATGGTCCATGAGAGAGATTTGTATGTCTTATTCTATGGCATATCATAACCTAGCCTTCCATCATGCCCCATGCATAGAACATCAACTTCACATGTTCCTACCTATCCCCAGCCCTGCCTCTCATAATCAGAGGGCCTAGGTAGAACAGGGGGAAATGTACCAACAGGAAATTTACATTTTAGCTCAAGCTGACTCTTTCATACTAAGGATATATGAGCTGGTAATGGTCTGAATCAAAGAGATCCAAGATGGACTACATTTGCCCCATCTGCACCCCAAGGTGACTACAAAACTAGAGTCCTCATCACCCACACCCCATCCTTCCCTCCCATAGTTTTCCCCAACTCACCGCACTGCTGCAGGGGATGTCTTTCACCTTGAGCCAGGCCAGATCCAGCGTTCCCTCACCCCTGTAGCAGGACTGCAGGCGCTCCTTGATGCGATCGTTGATCTGTTTCAAGATGAAGATGCACAGGGCTGACTCATCCAGTGATTTCATCTTCCGTTTCTGGCCCTTGGAGAAGACGGTGAAGAGGAGGTCATCATCTGAATGGACTCCCAAAGTCCGGCCCAGCACAGCCCCAGCTTTGGACAGGTAGGCAGCCTGCAACAAGCGGTATTCTACCCCATTGCGCTCACAGCCAATGGGCACCTCCACGTAGGAGTTGAAGGCCGTGTCCTCTTTGCAAAGCCTCACAAGCTTAGATGTGTACACCTGTTCCTTTGTGGTGGATCCTGGGGGAGACACCATCTCAGGCTGCAGTGTTAAAAAGTAGACAAAGTTGCCGCTGCTGAAACCATAGACATAGTAGATGTCAAAGTCAGGGATGACTGTGAAGGTATCTGAAGGAATCTTGATCATAGAGGCTACAAACTCATCATGGAAAACATAAGCAAACATGCCATCTGCTTCAGAGTTCTTGGTCAACTTCCGACTGGAGATGGTAGGAAAGTATTCAGGTTTGCCATCCACTGCTGTAGCAATAAAGAGTTTATCATCCAAGTTGCTGTAGGAGACAATCACCCCAAAGACTGAGCCACTCTCATTAACCCCTGAAAGGTAGTGCTCCTTCTTATGAAAGGGCTCTCCCAACTTGAAGAGGTCCTCCAGCCGCAGGAGCTTGCAAATACCCTGGTACAGGCTCCCACATGCAATCAGCCTATTTTCCTTGTAGTCTATGAGCAGCATCTTGTTGACATTATTGGTGCTGGTTAGGGGCTCATTACAGGTCTGGACAATGCGAGGTGGGTAACATTTGGGGTTGTCCTCATCTGGCCCTGTCTGATGGGTCACCAAGACCTTGAGGTCACTAGAGAGTTTGTAGATCCTGTTGACAGCCCCCAAGTAAATGTGCCCTGTCCTCTCATCCACCACAAGGTGATTGAAGCCCTCAGCAGCTTCCCCACGGAATGTAACAAAAGATCGTTTCTGGGACAGCTGGGGTGGCTGCCGTGGGAGCAGAGTAGAGGAGCCCATCCCCATCACCAGCAGGTGGGAGAGGAGGCAAGTCCAGTTCCAGGGCATGGCTTTCATCTCAGAGATGGGTCCTGTGACACAGCAGCACTCCAACACAACTGTCCCTTTGGAGGGCCAGGACTCAGCAGGGGTGTCTTCCCTAGTGAAGAAAGAAAAAATAAATAATAAATAACTCAGACATAAGGGAACAATGGAAGGACATCATGGTGCCCACAGATCTGGCTGGATTCAGTCCATATGTGGAACAGAACTACCCTGGGGAAATCAGAGGCAAAAAGACCCAGCCCCACCGTGGGTGTATGAGACAGTCAGCTGGATGGTAGTAGCCCCAGGACTCTTCATCGATAATAACAATAGTGAAGATGGTGATGATGATGATGAGTGCTTGACTTTGTGCCAGTCCCCACAACAACTTCTAGATGCCCTCTCATTTCATCTTTGCAAACCCTTCATTACAACCATTTTCCAACTGCCCTTCTAAATCTAAAGTCTGCACTGTGCCCAAATGTTAACCCATATGGATCCTACACTAACAGGCTCCCTGCTATGGAGCCAAGTAGGTACAGCTAGTGGGCAGCATCAGCAGAAGGCTGTGGGGAGGAACCATCTGTACTGACTCAATATCTGCCTGTCTCCCAGTTCTGTGGACCAGCTCTTGTCAACCTCATTTGGCCCTAAGAAATGGTAACAGTGACCTCACTGTTACTAACTCCAAATATGGCACTGCCACTGAAGAAACCAGTCTTTCATGAAGACTCTCTCCATTAACTTTTGTTCAAATGACCAAATGCGCTTGTGCAGTTTCCTGCCAGAATCTAACTAATGACCACGGAAGTGTGCACTATTTTATCTCTATTTTAAAACTAAGGAATGTGAGCTTAGAGAACTTATGTGACTTGCATCGTGAAAGTTGGAAAGGTGGCTCGAGGAGTATAAGTTTGTAGTAGATCCTTTACCATCTCATTTGACTCCAGCCTCTCACAGCTGGGGCTGGACCACACAGCAAAAAAGCTAAGGCTGGGGGCTGGAGCAATGGCTCAGTGGTTAAGGGCACTAGCTGCTCTTGCAGAGGACCTGGGTTCGGTTCCCAGCACCCACATGATGGTTAATAAGCGTCTGTAACTCCAGTTCCAGGGGATCCGACATCTTCTGACCTCCTTGGGGATTGTATGACACAGGTACACTTACATAAAAATGATAAATAAAATATTTTTTACAAAGAGCTAAGGCTGCCCCTTCTTGGGACCACCCATGGCAGCTGTTGCCAAAGATCCTCTGTGTCCTCTGTGCCTCCTCTGTCAGATAGTGTAGTGAGGCTAAAGTAAAAACACACACCATCTTCCCTCTGTGGGGGCCACCAGCCTCTCCAGGTACACTGCCCAGTGCTGAGCCTTCCCATCATTCTAATGAAGCAGATCCTGACTGACTCCTCTGGTGGGGACTCCTTTGAGAGATTTTCATTAAAGGGAGAGGGGAAAATGCTTTAAGAAGTCAATAGTTAAATATAAGTAAGTAAGTAAATAAATAAATAAATAAATAAATAAATAAATAAATAAATAACTAGACGGACGTGGTGGCACACGCCTGTAGTCCCAGCACTTGGGAGGCAGAGGCAGGCAGATCTCTGTGAATTCAAGGCCAGCCTGGTCTACATAATGAGTTCTAGGACAGCTGGAACTCTGTCTCAAAAAGACCAAAATAAATAAATAATTTAATTAAATGAATAAATAAATAATAAATAGCTGTCTGTCTTAACAGTCACCTTCATTTCTATTCAAGATGCTTTCTGTGTGTGTTTCTTGGGGACAGCTTCTTCTTTCTTTCAGCTTGCATGAAATAAGGGCAAAGAATTGCCCATGTCTTATTTGGGGCATCTTAACTCCATGGGATTTCTTGTTTCCCTCCAAGCTTCTACAAATCAGGTGAGGAGATGAGGTAAATCACTAAAGTAACAGAAGTCACTCAAGGAGGGAGAAGCATGAGGCTAGCTGGACACCCAGAAATGAGAGAAAAAATAAAGACTGCATCATCAGCCAAAATCCTGAGGAAAAGCATGGGTTTCTCAAGGAGGCATCAGAGCCAGGAGGAATATCAGTATTTGGGCAGCGTTGACTCCCCCAGGCACCACACAAGGTGTTCTCATTTGCATTCTGTTGTTGTGATGAACATCACAACAAAATGCAACTTGGGGTGGAAAAGATGTATTTTATCTTACAATTCCCAGGTCACAATCCATCACAGAGAAGTCAGGGCAGGAATTCAAGGCAGGAACTGAAACAGAGATCACACAGAAATACTGCTTACTGGCTTGCTTACCTGGGCTTCCTTTGCTTCCCCTGGTATTTCTTATAAGCCCAGACCCACCTGCCTAGGGATGGCACCACCCACAGTGGGCTGGGCCCTCCTACATCAATTAGCAATTAAGAAAATGTCTCATAGACATGTCCACAGGCCAATTCAATGGAGGAAAAGGAATTTCCTTTTCCAATTGAGGTTCCCTCTTCCCAGGTGACTCTAGTCTGTGTCAAGTTGACAAAAACAAGCACACAAGGCAAATGTTTCTTCCCCAGATTAAATCACATGATCATCACAACTGTCCCTGCAGCAGGATGGCTTTACTTACTCTTTAGATGAGGTACCTAGTTCTGCAAGGATGTGTAGCTAATAAGGGGCAGAGTTAGGAACAGGACCCTGGTCTGTACCACTGCAAAAATCCATAAGCTTTCTAGGAATGCATCTTCCAGACCCCAGAATATGGAGCCCTTGGAGTTCCTTTTTTGTTTATATAAGTCCCAAATGCAGAGATCCCAGAATATCAGCTACTAAATCCAGGGGGAAACTTAAGATCCTATGCCACATGGGAACGGCCTGGGAGATAAAACCTTTCGGCAGATACCATCGTGCACCTCTGAAAGTGTTGATGAGCATACAACTCCTAATGCAAGGACTCTGCCTGGCACAGAGTAGGCACTGTTGTTGTTAGTAAGACTGAAGTTAGACTAGGATGAGGATTGTCATAAGGGGATGGAACCTATTGGCACATCTCAGTACAGTGATGAGGAGTCCAGATAGTTCCTCCTGAATTGCCTATGCAAATTCATATAACAGAAAAGAGTCTAGAAGTTTTTTTTCTGAAATAGATAATCCAATTTAATAATAATACTCAATCCCTGATTTTAGAGACAAGGAAAGTGATATCCAGAGAGGATAAATGAGGTCAGAGGTGTAAGAGATGGAGACGGGGACTGAGGAGATGGTTCAGTTAGTGAAGTTCTTGCCCTGCAAGCATGAGGATCAAGTTAGATCCTCAGAAACCACACTAAAAAGCCAAGCTTGATGGTGCACATTTTCAATCCCAGTTCTGGTCAGGTGGAATGATTGGATCCCTAGGTTGGCTAGGATGGCCAGCCAATCTAGCCTGATTAGTGAGTTCTAGACCAGAGGGAGACCCTGTCTCAAAAACCAAGGTAGATGGACCCTAAGGAAAAATACCTGAGGTTGACCTCTGGCCTCTACATGAGCATACATACATACACGTACATGCAGCAGCATGCACACATGAGCACCCTCCCACAAACATGCCCACACACGTACATGTACACACATATGCACACATACAATAAATAAGTAAATGAATAAATTATTATACAAGTTAAAGATGAAGATGAGGGGCAGTTCAGACCTGTGACTCCTTATCCAGTGCTCTTTCTGTCACATGTAGCCTCCCTGGACTTTATTTAAACTGATCCAGCATTTGCTCCATGGCCTTTGAAGTGACAGCTCTATGGGTACCATGTGGCCTGTTGGCTAATACAACTCTCAAAGCAGCTCTGCCAACAACGAAATTCCAGAGGGGCTGGTATGCTCTCTCCAGACAGGCACAGGCAGGTTGGGACTCGGCCACCAGCCCTTCGGGAGGAAACTTTCAACAGTCCCCGTATCAGAGCATGCCACGTGCCAGAGAAAGTGCCACATGGCCCACCTTACTATATGCACTCACAGATCTCAGACAATCCACAGCTCCCGGTGAGACGAGGAAGCCTCTAATCATGAATTTACTAAGCAGAAAGGTACCACAGCTCATTCTCTATCTTCTATTAGGAACTGAAATGAGACACAGTTATGCATCTCAAACACCTATCACTCTCATCTGGAGATGGTAAAATTACTGCTCCTGGAGGGGTGGGGAACCTGCAGAAACAATAAGATGTGATGGGAATAACCAGCCTCTCATTCTCTACCCCACGAAAGGGATTGATTAAGAAACAAGGAACAGAGAGACAGAAGGGGTGTGAATAAGCATGTGGGTGCCAGTTGGACTCACTGAAGACCCCACTGTGGACCTGGCCAGTGACAATCATCCAGCCCCAGATTAAGACACACAGCTAGGCAGAACCACCAGACCCTCTCACCCAGGGTCACCTAAGGCTGTTCTGATCTGGCTAAACTGAAAAGCCAGAGCTTCAGAGAGTGAAGGTGTTTCTCCCAGGACATCAATCCATGACCTCAGCCTAGGAAGCCTCCCAGTCCAGTTTCAGATCCTTCCACCATCCCTCTTTCAAATTGTCCTTTAACTGGTTTTAAAATGAAGCATCAAATGTAACATTCTGCCCAGCCCTGATTCTTGTAGTCATGGGAGCAAGTCATCCCCAAAGGACTTCCTGAACCAGGCAGAGTAGAAGTGGGGGACAGAGGGCTGGGGATCTCACAGACTGAGTCAACCCCAAACTCTCTGCTGCCTCCCCTTCTTTGAAATCAGACTTTAATTCTGAGTGGTCTCCAGGGAGGGAGGACTCATTTCTAGAAGCTGATCATCATTTTGATCAAAGCAGTTGGGACTGCCTTTGTTTTATACGGCAAGACTTGAAGAGCTCAAGCTAATTTTCATGAAGTAGTACCGTCCTCTCAGATTCCTGAGTGGCAAAAGAAAGTTATTACAGAGCAGTTTAAAATAGCAATTAGCTCACAAAATTCCTTCAGAGTTTACAAGTTGTTCCCATCTATATTACCTCATTCTGATTTTATTGTTGGCACACCTTATTGGATAAGTGGGTTTGCAATTGCCCGTGCTTTACAGATAAGGAAACTGAGGCAGGAGCTGGCACAGGTAGGTCTTGCTTGAGGTCATACACAATGCTT